TTTGTTTCGTAGTTTGTCTGACTGCCATGTTGGTATGTTGGTATGTGTGTGTGTGTGTGTGGTTTCATTGTCGTCATCATTATTATCCGCTACCATTCACAAAGCTACTGCTGTTCAATCTCACGCTGACATTCCACGAACCAGATTGGTTACAGAATTGATTCAATCGACTGAACATCGTGCAAAATGTGGTTGACGAGAGGTAAGTGCCAACCACAGTTTGATCAATGTGTTCTACAATATTCTTTCAAAGTCGAGTCAAATCGATGTTCAATTTGGTTGTGTTTCACTGAACAGCACCAAGCCTCATTTCCCGAAACGTGCTTCACTCGATGTGTCACGGTAACAAATCGACGATTATGTTGTAAACCATTCGAAGGTTGATATTCATTTGGTCTTTGTTCCTTCCTCACCACTAAAGTGTTTGTTGTTTTCCTCTTGAAATGTGTGAATGGTTACCACTTGTACGTGTGTGCGTGTGTGTGTGTGCGCGTGTGTGTGTGTGTATCTGCTCATATGGGTGCCGTAAATGCAAAAGCCCCGCAGTACCTCATAAGTTCATCGTCAAATAGTGAAAATGTTTAAGCCAATATGTTATTTACATGGGAATTTGCTTTGCTACGATTTTAATGGTCATATAGTGTGTTGTACGACATAGAGATAAAATTCAATACATGCAATTGATGGATTAAGTCATGGATTCCATTCCGATACCCAATATTTTCTGTTTTATGGGCACGTGATCATTCAAACCCAATAGCACAAACTTCAAACCCGTAAACAATGGCATTCACACGTGTCGCAGTGTCAGTTGCAGCAGTATAGTGTATTTTAAATTTATAGCACGTTCACGGTTTAATGTTGAAACTAAAATAAATGAGCGTGGGTTTTGTTGAGCTGCTAAACAAAAGGACATTCTACGGAAAATGAGCAATTTAAACGCTCAAGTAATCAACATAAATTCCATTGTCATTGCCAACATCTGAGCACCATATCCACCGAAAATGGAATATTTGCACATACACACAGCGTGTATCACATACGCATACACTAAATGCCTACAAAACATACATTAAACCGAAAATGGCCTTGCAACTCAAATAAACCACTGAATGAATAACATTCAATTGAGAATCAATATATTCGCAATTAATTATAGTGGGTGACAAATGAAATGAATATTGCCATTTTGATCGGTATTGAACATTCCATTCTCATGTAGAGTTGAAAATACGATTTCCGTCTGCTATTGAAATCACTTCCCAAGAGAAACGACCAATATGTTTATACGCTGTCTATCCGCCAAAAATACACTACAATATATATTCACGCTTATTGGACGCCGAATTGAATATATATTCTAGTGTATATTCGGTGTATTCTTAAGCGTGAAACATATTGAATCAATGAATGCATTCATGACCATCAGAATATGTTTCAATATGTTTCACGCTGAAGAAAACACCGAATATACACTAGAATATGTATTGAATTCGGCGTACATTGTACGCCGTACACTAAGCGTGAATATATATTGTAGTGTATTTTCGGCGGATAGACAGCGTAAAAACATATTGGCCGTTTCTCTTGGGATCATACAATTGAATTTTCAAAAAACCGCTAAATATCTGCAGATATTGGAAATTATTAAATCGGATTCACTATGTTTGAATTTCATTACTGGCATTCAAAGCTGGCATGCCAATTATAGTAATTGAATTGTTACCGGATTATCGAGATTTCTCCATCCTTCCGGGGATTCTACCCAACATGTAAATGGATTTACGCAATATGACAAATAAAATGTCAACGTTACACGGAACATATGCTGCATGAATGTAGTTTTTCGATGAAATGTGGATTGAACAAATCTCCTATCAAATAGATATTTCACCAAGTTTTTGTTGAAAAGCAGTGAATGAATATCGGAAATGGTCGATGAAAAGATCCTTTCCTTCATTGAATGTAATTACAGTATTTTGTTTGAACGGAAAATAAATTCAATTTGAAACGAAAGACAGAATATTGAATACAAGAAGCGAAAACCATTGCATGCTAAACAGCACCATTTTGCACATGCTAGCATCTCCACCAAATTGAACACCATTCAGTGGTGCTCATAAGTATTGAAGAAGACATGAAGTGGTTGCCGTCTATGTCATGTGCCCCATGTATACACTGGCGTCTTCAATTCACACGCAACTTTCCGCTTGGTAACGAAAACCACCTATTCCTTCGACGTGTCACCATCCATAAAAGTTTATTATATTTCACAAACAAAAATAGCAAAAGATCCGTGTAACAACCGGGTGCATAGTAGTACTAGGTCACCAATTTACATGTTAAATGTGTGTGTTTAATTTGATTTTCTGTTCGAAAGTCATTAAATTCTACTTATTGAAGCTCTTTGAACAATCCCTTTGCTATAGTGTCGCTGTTGTGTTTGCGTCTATTTAAGCTGGTAAGGATTTTGAGTGTGGCAGTTAAACTGCATTGAAATTAAGCACATTTGAAATTAGTTTATTTTAAGTGTCTATTCATACAAGTGCACTCTCATTGAATAGTCAATTCGTTCATCAAGCGCACATTTGTTAAGGGGCATTGATGACGTGTTTGTTTGCACTTTCATAAGTGCTACAAACTTGGAATATTCATTCTTTTCTTCTTTGCACACCTCCAAAAGAATGGATGGTAAACTGGCTACGTAGAATTGCACGAGTTGACTTAACTTGACTTATTGCTGAAACGGTGAATATGCATGAGCTTAAAACAATCTGACAAACGAAGCAAATCCAGCACGAATTTACAAGAAATATAAATCTTCGAAGATTTAAATTTGTATTAGCACAGACATAGACAATCTTCTACTCCCCCTCCACTTTCTGAACGATTTCTTTAAGTTCAATGAGACAACAATGCGAATGTTTTTCGTTTAATTTGTGTGTTTTGTTATTTTTATGCGACGCAAAGGAAAACAACCGAATTTAATGTGTCTCACACAATGAGTTTTACCTGATGTGAAAGAGCGTAGCAGCGAAATCATTTATACGAATGTGATGAACTCTAACGTATCTCTAGTGGGCTATTCTCCATGTCTTTATTGTTTGGATTGATGAGTTCGCGCTCATACTCGCACACATACACATTCACGGCACTCAAGGCACAATATACAAAGCAACATACACAGATTGTTTGTATAATTGTTCTTTTGTTGTGGTGAATGCGATTTGGTTTAGCGGCAAGGCATTAGTGTGTGTATGTGTTGCAGCAAAGACGCAAAGTAATCGTTAAACAACTCTCAGTCAGTTCAAAGCCGTCTAATTTTAAAGTAAAATATGCGACGACAACGACGACGGTGATCAAATAAATAAAAGTTGCAACGGATGGGACGGGAGAAAAAAAAATACTTTCTCACATGTGTATGGTTCGAGACAAAGCACATAAAGTTTGTTTAGTGTGTGAACTTCGATGTTTTTGGCCGCACTAAATCTCAATACCATTGGCCAGGGGTTTGGAACGAAAAAAAGAATTATATGCATTTAATATGAATGAACTAATTCCATAATATGCAAACACTCATCACATACGAAAGAGATGGCATGCTATGACCAACACTAGCCACATGTGTAGCATTTAAGTGAATATGTGAATAGAAATGTGGTGGTATCTGACCCCTATCTCTATTTTTTTATGGTTGGCATAGTTCAGAGTACGAAAAATCACTTTGGCTAAAAGATTTATTTCGGTGTGTTCGCGCCGTGCTGTCTTCATCGCCGCATCCGCGCGCAAGATACATTGTTTGTATTGTAGTCCATATGTTATCAGGCGTTATTAATCTGATTACGTAGATGGACAAGCGACATATAAAAAATTATTACATTACATCTTTTAGACGGTGATTATTATTTTTCAGCGATCGTTTGTTGCCGTCTACTACAATCCAAAGAACCGATGAGCTCGCGCTATTTCTCTTTCTGCTTAAGCTTTGATAAAATGAACCGAGTTTTTATTATCTTTTTAATTATATTTTATGTCTCCATGAGAACATCATTTCACGGTGTCATATCGGAAGCCTACTGATTCGTCCGACGAACAGACTCCTCTCTTCACATTTTTCTCTTCTTCTTCTTCTTTTTTTTTCGTCGTCTTATGCGTCAATGTTTTTATTATTTCAAGCGCTTCCGTATATATTCTAATATCTAGAACGACAACGACACTTGTTATTACAATGTGGATAATTTTTTTCTTTCTTGGACGCGCTCTCCGCATTTGAGACACATTAACATACACACAACTTTTAGTCATGGCCTGATAATTTTGTATGTTGTTCTGCGAAGCATGGCATCCCTTTTTCTCGTTGAATAATCATGTATAGTGGTGCATTGATCGTGATGTTTTGCACATATCATCGCTATTAAGACCATCAGCTCTCGTATACTCACACATTAGTCAGCCTCTCCGTTTAAACATGTATTTGAATATTATTTATTCATTTGTTCATGGAGGCAAAAAAAGGAGAAAAAAAGGACTGAATAACATGAATTAAACGACATCAACTACTACTAAAGAATGTTGTGCGAAAGTGGTGGGCCTGTCCACGACAGTTGAGTGGCCGACAAAAAATAAATCGAGACTCAGACTTTAGTATAAATTACAACGGTTTTCGCTACTAACGTATTGCGCTCGAGTGTTCAACATTTTTTTTAGAATTAAATCGCTTCGAAAGTTTTTGGACTGATTTTTTATTAATGTTTGGTTTTATTTATTGATGAAGGACAATTAAACTTTCTATCGGATCGAAGAAAGAAGCAAACCAATTTTGAACATTGATTTTCCGACGTTTTTATTGCAAATTTTTATGACAATATAAAAAATACGGAAAAAATGTAAGAAGAAGGAAAATTTACACATTGTTGAGATCAAGTGCTGTGCCAATTTTAAGCTGCAACAAACATAGTGGAACGAACGTTTGATTTAAATGTACATTTCGTTCATTCCAGATACGAGTGTTCGGTATTGCAATGACGGTTTCAAAGGAATAACTAAAATGCATCAGGACAATTCAAATGGACAAATATTTTGTGTAACACTAGTGGAATGCTATTCTGAGTGATGTAAGTGAAATCCAATATCAAAATCGAGTGAACGACGAAATTGGTGTTTCGGTTTGTGCTGCGGAATATTTCATACTGTTGCTGTAGATTTTTTCATTTTTTTTCTTATTGCATCTACGTCTCGGGTGTATATCAATTTTTGTATGGGAATTTTCCGAATCCAAATGGAAAATTCTATTGTACCGTTTGCACGAAATAAGATTGCGAATTTGACGACAACAACAACAACAACAACAACAATCGAAATAAAGAACTAGATATAACTCACAGCACGTGCCACGAAAATCTCATTAGATAAGCTCTGAACCATAATTTCCTATGCGTTGTTATTCGGTTTTCGGTTCATGGAATTTTCTGCATACCCATAATAAAAAAGTTGCTCGAGTATTTTGTGCGCGTGCTGACTTTTTGTGTGTAATCCTCAAACTCATCTAATGTGTTTCTTTTTGCAGTTTATTTTACGGTTTTTGAAGTTATAGCTCGAAAAAAACACACGAGAGAGAGAGCGTGAGAGAGCTAAGAAAACTTCAAGTTTAGCACAAAAGCATCGTGACTAGTGTGAATGCTTCGAGTGTTTCTATCGTTATAAGTATTTACGAATCAGAATAAAAAAAATATTGTTTACAACACACTTTTCATTGAAAGACTTGTTATCCATGCACATATACGAGAATACCGTGTGCTGTCCGGGCTTGAGTTCAAGTGTTTGACTCGTGTGTGAAATAAAGATTATTTTTGGTAGCGTCATTCAATGTAACGTGCTGTTGATGCGGCCAACAGATATGATAGCATCGCAAGCGATTACATTCAAATTATTTTTAGAAGTTTTATTGTTCAAGTTCTTATTAAGAATGAACTGACTAGACAACATTTTCTATTCACTTTGTATAAATCATGCTAATCTGAAAATATATGTATCTTCCCCGTGAAGCCATACCACTTATCTATGGTACTTTTGTCAACTAAAAAAAAATCAACCGCTGAACACAACGAAGAAGAAAAAGCAACAGTAGCAGTAGCAGAAAAAAGTTCACACAAAACACAATTGGGAACAAGCGCGCAGATAGATCAGTAGGCAGATCAATCATATTTTACACCACAACACCAAATAATGTACGGTTTGTTGTTGGAAAATTTGGCCGAATATATCAAAATCAATTATGGCGAAGATAAATGGGATGAAATTCGACGACAAGCCGGCATCGATGCACCATCATTCAGCGTACATCAAGTGTATCCGGAAAATTTACTTAATAAATTGGCGAAAAAAGCGCAACAAGTGAGTGCAAACCGCTGTGGAAAAACGAATGAAATGTTTGTGCGAATATTGATTTAATGCCTTTCTCTTTCTCCCGACTTCGATAATGTTCTCCAGGTTTTAAATGTGCCAGAAAAAGAGTTTATGGACCAGATGGGTGTGTGTTTTGTTAGTTTTGTAAGTCAATATGGTTACGATCGTGTTCTGTCTGTGTTGGGCCGTCATATGCGTGATTTTCTCAATGGATTGGACAATTTGCATGAATATCTGAAATTTTCATATCCTCGAATGAAGGCGCCATCGTTTATTTGTGAAAACGAAACAAAACAAGGTCTCACGCTACACTATCGCTCGAAGCGTCGCGGCTTTGTTTATTATACAATGGGACAAATTCGTGAGGTAAGAGCCAGTTTTTTTTTATCTCTGATGCACACTACCAGAAACAAAACAAATTCACTGGCGACAAATAAACAGCATTCTTACTCGATTTTCCAATAAAATACCAAACAATTGTAGGTGGCCCGACATTTTTATCACAAAGAAATGCATATCGAATTGATAAGAGAGGAGATTCTATTCGACACGGTGCACGTGACATTTCAATTGACTTTCGATAATCGTGCATTCACCCTGGCATCGCTAGCAATGACACGTGAGGAAAAGCACTTGCCAATCAGTGCATCAGTTCTCTTCGAAATATTCCCATTTTGTGTTGTATTCGGGTGAGCATTAAGTTTTCGACACTTGTTTCGGCGTTTGTTTGTTTTTCTTCTTCATTTTGGGTTTGGTAATTCAATAAACTTACACGGCACTGGGTGCTCGATGAACAAGAAAAACCAGATAGATTCGGTTTGTTTCTCAAAGTTTGTTTTTCCGATTAATTTTTATATTGGTTTTCCCCTATTTTTCCTTCGATTTTTTGTTTCTTTCTTGGGATTCAGATCCGATATGGTGGTGCGTAGCATTGGAAATTCATTGCTTGTCATTCTACCTGAACTAGTCGGCAAAAAAATAACGGCGTGGTTTGATTTGGTCCGACCCTTGATAGCTTTCAAATTCCAAACTGTAAGTCAACTTCAGCTTGCAGTGTACATTGTTGCGGATACGCACAATTAACTTTAATTGCTTTTTTTCATTTTCTTTCTCCCTCTCAACCTCTCGTTTTTCCACCGCCTCTCTTTACATAATCGTGTTATCGCTATGATTGTGTGCACGTGCAAATGCAGATTTTGAATCGAACCAATAATATATTCGAATTGGTTACGGTGGAACCGGTGCCAGATCGTTTGGAAACACTCAACAAAGATATTCTAGGCAGTGAAATTGAGGGAGATGAAAATCGAAATCTACGATTGAAAGGTAACCCAATGATAAATATTCGATGTGCACGTGCAAAATGAACTGCAAATGATTCCGGATTTAAACCATTTCTCTTTTCTTCCGGCTTTTCCGTTTTTATTTAATTTCTAGGTCAAATGATTTACATGGAAAATTGGAGAATGATTATGTTTCTAGGTACACCAGTGATGCCGGAGTTAACGTCATTAATAAATACAGGTAGGAAAAACAACACTTTGTTTCTGCGTTAAAAGTGTGTTTGTAAACTTTACCGTTTTATCTTTCACCTTCACTCTCGTTTCGATTCCAGGGTTATACATAAATGATTTGAGTATGCATGATTTTAGCCGTGACTTGATGCTGGCAGGTACACAGCAGTCAGTTGAGCTGAAATTGGCATTGGATCAGGAGCAGCAAAAATCGAAAAAATTAGAGGAATCAATGCGTAAATTGGACGAAGAAATGCGACGAACCGATGAATTACTATATCAAATGATACCGAAGCAGGTGGCGGATCGTTTACGACGTGGAGAAAATCCAATTGACACCTGCGAGGTACACAACATTATTATCGAACATGGCAGTTCATCCAAGCAAATATTTCGCAGCAATTTCGTGTGCACAGCTGATTTTCTAATATTTTGATTTCGATTTTTTTTCCCTGTTCTTCGCAGATGTTTGATAGCGTTTCGATATTATTTTCGGATGTTGTAACCTTTACGGAAATCTGCAGTCGAATCACTCCAATGGAAGTTGTGTCAATGCTCAACGGAATGTACTCGATATTTGACACACTAACCGAACGCAATAACGTGTATAAGGTATGATAAACTAAATTCCTTCGGTTGCTGCCACAGTAAATTAAGAATATTTATTACATCAGATTGTGTTGTGAATGGTTTCTGTGTCATTCCTCTGATTTAGGTTGAAACAATTATTATTTTCAAAATAGGTCGAGACAATAGGTGACGCTTATATGGTGGTGTCTGGTGCGCCCGAAAAAGATTTCAACCATGCTGAAAAAGTCTGTGATATGGCCTTAGATATGGTGGAAGCAATTACTGATCTCAAAGATCCATCGACTGGAACTCATTTGCGTATACGGGTGGGTGTACACTCCGGTGCGGTGGTTGCCGGTATTGTTGGCCTGAAAATGCCGCGCTACTGTCTGTTCGGTGATTCGGTTAACACAGCTAGCCGAATGGAATCGACCAGTGCCGCAATGAAAGTGCATATATCTCAATCGACGAAAGATTTGCTTGGGCCAAATTATCGAGTGAAAGAACGCGGCGAGATTGATGTTAAAGGTAAGGGTGTTATGAAAACGTATTGGCTTGAAGAACGGGAGAATCGTCCCAAGCTGGGGCACATCACACCGCAAACAAATACCCCAGTGCAATCGTCAATCGTGATGAATTCGTTGCGGCGCGATTCATTAAAAGATCCTCGACGACGAAGCAATTCGGTGTTTGGCTACACGAGAAAACCAATTAGCCCTCCACCACCAGCCATCGAAGATCGGCATCGCATTTATTCGCCCGTTATGTTTGAAGACGTTGCAATGCATAGTATGTCAGGTTCGCCGGTAAAAGGGACTTATAGTCCACCACGTGGTCGTGATTCACGTTCGAACTCAACGGGACACGTTTTCATGCATAGTCCAAGCGAATTGTTTGGTTCTTTAATCAATGATACCGAAGAGTTCTTTGAAGATATAACGAATAACCGCAAAGTTGAATCGGCATCTAATTTACAATCAAGTGTGCAATCAACACCAGCATTCAGTCCACGGCGAATACCAAGAGCGTTTAGCTCAGGCTCTTCTTCAAACATGCTGCCCCCATCAACAGCCCCACCGCTAATCAGTAGTTCGACCTCAAGTGCGGGCCGTGATCAACTTACGGCAAAAGAAATGATTGACTATAGCCGACCGTCGACCTCATCGATGGTGCAACCTTCTATCCACAACTTAACCAAACAAGCAAATTTGGCTTTGGCTGTTGTGAACCACCGTTCAAATGAATCCATAAATAAGTATGCAACAATTTTTTAGTTTACATCATTACACACACGAATGCAATGGACTTTTGTTTCATTTTCAAATGGATTTATTTTGCAGGGAAATTCAGAAGGTCGACATTAACAATATACCTTCAAATGCTAGTCAAGTGAATCGAAAGTGTCCAATGAACTCAAAAAATTTGCGCGCTTTCGAGCAAATGGATAAAATGATGGACGATATTCTAGTGAATGACATATCTGGTATGTGCCCATTTAATTTTGGATCGCAACACCATAAACCGCCACCCAACTCAAAATCGGATGGACACATTTGTCGATCGAATAAGTAAATAACCGTTGAATTATATACCAAAATTAGAATAGCAGCCCAATAGAAGCGTTACTAAGACGAAATATGGGACTTTGTTCTTATGCTTTTGCTTTTTTTCTTCACAGAAACTCACAGAAAAGCGCCGATTCCGCCGCCAGTAGCAGTAAAATGTCGAATAGCCAAAGTTTTTCGAATAATAAGTCACATCAATGTTGCTCCGGTCACCAGAATGGTCGACATCGCGTCCATTCACAATGCAATATCATCTAAATGCCGTAGATGGAAAAGAGGCCCCTGCCGATGAATACTCTACTGTGCACAGCATGTACAGTACATCATAATTCATGCATTGCTCATTTAAATATGCAAATTCTATTGTTTTGTACAAATATTTTGTATGTCCTTTGACAATAGTGAGACAGCAACGCCATGGAATAAGATACTTGAGTGATTATTGGGATTTAAATGGAATCATTCAAAGTATAAAGGAACGAAATAGAATCGGCAAGGAAACAAATGATTCCTATTGAAACTGGATTGAAAGGTCGAATGATGTGTACCGCGAATTCTATCATTATTATGCATTTGTCTGTATCATTATCAATCAGATTGTTTCCAATCGCTAATGCATTCATACAAAATATTCATAGTGACAAACAATGATCAACATTGAAACGAAAATCTCAGTAAATGGTATATTTAATGTAGCCTAAGGAAAACACAACAAATGAAAATGCCATTCAGGATACAATGGACAATAAACTGTAGACAAAACAGTAAAACTTGTGAACAATTTTTCTTGTATTTATCATAGTAGCTGAATTACGATACAACAAATCAAAGATATTCATATTCAATTAAGTGAGAAAAATCAATTAAAATTGAAAAAGAAAACCGAAAAAAAATTGTTCAAACGAAAATGAAGCGGATTGTTTTGTTTTTCATTCCATTGTTTTGCCGGTCAAAATGGAATACCAATTGAAGGAACCAGAATCGATATCGATTTTAGTAGATAGAATGATAAATTAGAAAAGTGCAATCGAATTGAAAAAAAAAAACAACAAAAAGAATTAAAAGATGAAATCGTTGGAACTGTCACGTTTCAAAGAAGCAAAGCTTTAATTGAAAGTCACTTTGTTGATTTTGAATATTTTAACACAATACTTAGTATAGAAATTCACGTTTTTAAATGAATGTTAACTGTTGTTGCAACAAATACATATATATGTATAAAAATGCTATTTTAGACTAATGCTATTTAATGACCACATCAAACGAAATGGGTAATTTTCGCATCGATACTAACACGGAGAATGAAATATAAGACAATGAACTACTACTTCGAACTGAACCAATTCGAGAAACAAAATTGAATGTTGTCGAAAACATATATTAGGTATTTTAATTCTCGGTTTTTCTATTTCACTCTTTTCAGAATTTTGAACGAAAATTTAGGGTTGAAATTAACCGAATTTTTAGCAATCGGAATTGGCCTATTCAATTTTTATGAAGTTTACTTTCATTTGACTGCTTTTTTAAAGAAAAAAAAAACTAATATTATGATTGCTCAAATGTTTCGAAAATATGCTCAACAAACAATTGTAGGCTGATTACACATCAATTTAATTTCAAGAGAAAATTGTGTTTGGTTTAAGGAGAAATGGAATGTATCGAATATTTTGTTTGTGATTTGTGTTGTTGCTACGAACAGTAGGTTGTTAGATAAGCCCAAATTAGGAGGCACTATAACTTTTTCTTTTCTTCAAACAAATACATTTGACAAGTGTCACCGAGGGAAAAGCCTTGAATTTTAAGATCAAATTTAATTATAGTTACAAAGGAAAGAGAATATAGACACCGAATATCACCATCAAAACAATAAAACAATGAACTATTTTTCGGATCTAGCTGAATTTTTGTGGATAGTATCACATAGAGAATCAAGAATCTATCGAATTGTTCGCCACAAATCGAATAATAAAAACTTTATTTATGTGTTTTCAATGAGTTTGTCAATTTCATTTTCATTCTAATCTTGAATTTCATCGGGTGATTAAAGCCGTAAGTATGATGCCAATCCAATAAAAATGAACGATATTAATCATATTGCGTTGATATGGGTCTTTGCTTTTTACACATTTTTCCAAATCGAATTTTTTGTTTACATCATCGTAACAAAGATTGAATTATGCGTTTTCTAAATTCTTCAGTTCGCATGAAAACGGATTGTATTTTCAGTTGATGAAAACAATTATTGTACAATTAAAATCGGTTGCCATCTCCAGTGTTCAGTCTTTGTTTGCTCATTTCTTCTTTCGCCTCTGCATTCACACGTATGAACCGAACATAAATCCACCACGCATTCAAATCTCTAGCAGCCGCCATTTGTATTCACCACTGTAACGCAGCGTTGAATGCGATGTGATGACAGTTGTTAGACTTTTGTTTGCTACAGAAAGTGATGTGACACATACATGTACGGAACGCGTATACCAATCGAATGCAAGTAAAGTTCCATAAAAACTTCAAGTTAAAAAAGAAAACGAAATCGCATCGGACGATTACACTTGTGTGTCTGAAAAGTTGTTGATCAGAAACGCTACGGGAAAAACTGCGAGAATCCAAGTTGTCTATCAGAAAAACGGTCGAATCAGTGTTCACTCGATCGGTACCAGCAGCAAGTGCTTAGTCACTCAAATATCAACGATAAATGATTTGCTAGAAATTGAAACTACACGAAATTGGATTTGTGTGAATTGAAAGCCGCTTTCGCAGTGTTTTTCCTCTTAATTACTGGTTTCTAAACAAAATGTCTAAAAATAAACAAATTGTGAGTAAATTTTCACCAAAATACGCAATATTTTTCCACAAATTTTACGCAAGTGACCGTCTATAGACAGATTTATTGCACAAAATTAATACAGAGAATAGAAATCAAACGTTGTTTTGTTTGTAGCGACGATCGATGTCTTTGTGTGTAATTTTGGATTTTTTGATTTGTCATTGTTCCGATTTGATTTGATTAAAAGCGAAGAGTTCGCTTCGAATGTCACAGTGAAACTGATACCGTTTGATAAATGTTTACGAAAAAAGACATACAACTCATGACTTATTTATAACTTTTGGGATGCAATACATAATTGAACCAGGAACAAGCCGAAAATTTGGCGTTCGTCCGTCGTGCTGTGTTGATTGTTTTGTTATGTAAACATAACCCTAAATAAGTAGACTGCAATTCATTGCACACATTTCCCAAGTGTCGTTTTCACTTGAAATACGTTTCATTCATTATTATTTTGCATGGCTCGGGCGATGCGCATTTTGCTACCGTTGTGACGAATCGCATATGTTTGTCGTCTCAATGACAAATGAATAGTTTTATTGATTTTCGATGGCTTGTGCCGAACAAAATGCATCTCAGTCGCTTTGTGATCATTTGTGCAACCGTTCATCATCTGCGATTCACTCGCTATACCATCAATTATGTCGACATTGAGATTGAACACTCTTTTCTATAAGCCACAGAATCTGTTGTACTCATTTTGCCGGCACCGGTTTTGGGTTTACTTCAAACAATGGGTTTATTTCATACGATTCCGCCACAGTTTGATTTTATATAATGTGTTTGTTTGATTTGTTTTGCGTAGCTACTTCGTGTTCAAAGTCCAGAAGGGACAAAACGAATTGAAATCCTTCCATCGTCCACAATTCGCGAACTGTACGAGTCAATCCATGATGCATTCGAACTGGAGGGTTATAATTTTGCGGTTTTTGGTGAACGCAACTACAAGAATGAATTGGCATCGAGCCGATCACAAACCGTTGATGACTACAAACTTAACCATGGCGATATGATTTACATGAAACCGCTAGCGGCTGGATCATCATCGGTAAGTCGTCGTCAACTAAGACCAATCGAAAAGATTTGGAACATCAATTTCACAGAATTTTAATTTTTCTATTGTATTTGAAGGTGGTAGAAGCATTCGGGCCACAGCCCAGTACAAGCAGCTCAAGCAGTTCGATTTCATCATTTGCATCGTCATTTAAACCAGCAAAATCGGCGTCGACCACCAAAACAGAAGTGAAGGAAGACGTAGTTGATATAATTCTTGCAAAAACTGATGGTCGTTTGCAGCGCAAACGTGATCCAAAATTGTGTCGTCACAATTCGAATGGGTGTTGTGTTCATTGCTCGCCGATTGAACCATGGGATGAAGAGTATCTCAAGGAGCATAAAGTGAAGCACTTATCGTTTCATTCGTATATTCGAAAGTTAACGTCGGGTGTCGATCGTGGAAAATTTGTGGCGCTTGAAGATTTGGTATGTTGCCAGTTGTTGATCACATGATCTGTACGTTTTGGTAGGCTAAAATCGGTGTTTTCTTTGTTTGTTTTTTTTTTTTAATCTAGGTTTGTAGTATCAAAAGTGGGTGCCGTGATCATCCACCATGGCCGAAAGGAATTTGCTCAAAATGCCAGCCATCGGCAATAACATTGAATCGTCAAATCTATCGGCACGTGGACAATGTTATGTTTGAGAATACGGCGTTGGTTGAACGTTTTCTCAATTACTGGCGAACGACCGGTCATCAACGTATGGGCTTTCTGTATGGTAGCTACGAAGTAAACAACGACGTTCCACTTGGTATTCGTGCTCATGTTGCTGCTATTTATGAGCCACCGCAGGAAAGTACACGCAACTCAATCAAGCTATTGCCCGACGAACGAGCCGAAGAAATCGAAGATCTTGCCAATAAATTGGGCCTACGCAAGGTCGGTTGGATATTCACCGATTTAATTGCCGACAACGGTGCTCTAGGAACGGTTAAACATATTCGCGGAATTGAAACACACTTTCTTACTGCTCAAGAGTGTATAATGGCTGGACACTTACAGAATCAACATCCAAATGTTTGTAAATATTCATCGAATGGCAATTTTGGCTCGAAGTTTGTGACTGTCTGTGTAACAGGTTAGTTGTACTGAGACTACGTTGTATTGTGGGAGATGAATTTCAATTTGGTTCGTTTGTTTCAGGCGATGCTTCGAAGCAAGTGCATATGGAGGGTTACGCTGTATCCGGACAATGCATGGCATTGGTTCGCGATAACTGTTTAGTTCCAACAAAAGACGCACCTGAACTCGGCTACATACGCGAATCGAGCGATAAACAATTCGTTCCAGACGTTTATTTTAAGGTGAGTACACACAATTATTTCGTTTTCATCACAATTTCAGGCAGCAATCCCATTTCACTTACCCATGACCGCACACCACTAATTCTGTTCTCTGTTGAAGTAATAAGAGTGAAAGGAAAACTCAGCATTGTTTTTTTTTGCTTCTTTTATTGAATACGTTTACATCTTTATTTCTATAGTTGTGTTGTCAAAGTTTTTCCATTTTTTTGTCTAGCCCCGTACACAATAGATTTGAAGATAGATACAGAATTGTTTGTTTTGGTTTATTGGCTTATTTCAGATTGTTCATTTTTTCCAAAAAAAATGACAATTTACAAATTAGTTCTTGTTGTTGTAGTCGTATTTGTTCCATGTTACATAGCATTTCCTCGTTTTTATTGATTTTTCTCTTTTTCTTGTTCGAAATGTGCTATTTTTCCCGTAGTTTCAACTATTGCAGAATGAATGGAAATAATTACCGAATGTCCTACTTCAAAATAGACAATATGTACACATGATCAATAGAATCAAATCAAATCAAAGCTAATACCGTTGTCTCTCTGTCTGTGTCTGCCGTACTTTCTTTTTTCCACTTCATTCGTTTTTACTCGTGCGATTTTCTACTTCAACTAAATTTGTTTGCTTAATGTCGTTCATCGAAATGTTTAAAATGGTTAAAACTCTTCATTTTTTTTTTTGGTTTGTGTAATTTCAATCGATTCGTATTTCGTGGCTCATTGTCGTTGCCGTCGTCATCGCACGCGTTTTCGAAATCGTGTTCGCCATTTCGTGTAATTTTTTTCTCGTCAAATACAATAAGATAAGTTGCTAATTTGTAATGTGTTTCATTTTCGCAATAGAATTTTTTTTGAATTTCAATTCGAACTGAAATATATATGTATATATATATTTTGAGTTTTTTTTATTGTTTAAAGCGGCATAAATAAATTTAGACTTTTTCATATGATATCACAATTCACTTGATTTCACTATTACTTGGATTTTTTTTTTCGAACAAAAAAATATATTCTTAGCATTTTTTTTTTGCTGCTTAAAACAAATTATAATGATCAAATGGAGAAGAATTAAACAAAACGAAATAAAAATGCTCGTATGAAAATTTTTCGTTTCAAAAAAGAAATTTTGTTTTGGTTGAAAATGACTTCGGCGCGGATTAGATGTTCACTCAAAAGAGAATGAAATAAAATATAGATTGATAGCATTTGTGTGTTGAGATCAACATAAAAAGAAATTGAAACGTTTATTTTGGCTGTTTTGTTGAGGACTTTTGATATCATTTTTACATTTCTTCGATTTTTTCGTTTCCATATTCATATTTGCTCTTTTCGAATTCAACCTTTTTTTTGTCGTTGGATAGATAGAAAGAACGATTTTCATTTACTGAGGACTGCATTTTCAACTACATTTGTTCATCAAATTTTTGTTTCTTCACAATTTTCTTCTTCTTCTCGCTCATACTAGATTAAAATGCATTAACATATACATAAATATTCTCTTAAATTTTCTTGTTATATACTACGTTTACGACATTTATATGGGTTTTCAAGGATATTGGTGTGGTTGTTTTGTAGTTCAATACGGCGCATATTAATTATATTTATTTTATTTTGTTTGTCCATTTACTTAGAATGGCATTTGTTTGATGCATTTCATGTGGTAACTCAATGAAGAAAAGATATTTCTCTCTGTTTCGATTTTTTTTTGTATTTCAAAACTAAAATGAAACCTAAACCGAAAACAACAACAATTGAATAGAAAATCAGAAAATCCGTATTTGCACAAATCGTTTTTTTTATCTGTTGTTGTTAAAGCTTGATCACAATGTGAATAAAAAAATATGTCCATCGACATTTCCTCTTAAACTTCAATTGTATGTACATATTTTGTTCGTAGTAAATTGTGTTTCTCTCTTTTTTATTATATTTGGCTATGTGGTCTAGAGCGAAAAAGGTGTGTTTGTAGTTTTGGTACCCATAGAATTTCATTTTTTTTTTGTTCGATTGTCCTATTTCAAAAATGTCACACGGTTCACCTTGTGTTCATGCGACCGATATTTTTTCTCTTCTTTGTCTATTTATGTTAGATTTGTTGTTGTTGTTGTTGTTGTTGTTGTTGTTGTTTTTTTTCACTATTTGGAAGAATTCATTGTGCATGCTTTTTCTTGCCATAAAAAGTATGAAATGATAGAAAAAAATTAATTCGAAAAAAAAATATAGCAAAAACCTGGAAAGAAAAATAATTCTGGTTCATTTTCAAAGAATTATTTTGGTTTTTTAAGTTTATTTCTGAAATTTTGTTTCATTTGTTTTAAACAACGACAAGAAGGAATGTCTACAATTAGTTGTTTTTTTTGCCTCTGACAAAAATTTACGCAATAAAATAGACAGAATTCACATTGAAACACACAAATTTTACACAAATATGTCAGATTATTAAATTTAACATTTGCAACGATTTTAACATATGCGGTCGTTTATTTTTCTCTCAATAGTGTCAAACTAAAACATTGGTTAATTATGCGGCTTTCATAGCCGTTCGTAATTTCACAGTTTATTTTTTGTTCAACAATAAATATGTTCGATTTTATAGAATGAATGGATGTCAAAAAGAAACACAGGTCGAAGATGTTCAATCGCTTAGAATAAATTTTAAAGAAGTTTCTTTCGTTGAATTGAGTGTCAAGACTGAACGAGTAAAAAAAAAGTTGATTATTCTAAGGGTCAATGATTTTTTCTCATCAACTAAATGTTCTTTTGCCGCTCTAGTGTTTTCAATGGGTTTTTTTTCTCTAAATTTCGGGCGTACAAATAAAACGGGTATCATCATCGTGTGTGAGAAAAAAATAATGTCAAGTTGATATAATTCTTAAATGTATAGAGGTATCAATATGAATAAAGCGAATAATCGATAAATATATTTTGTAGTAGGAACGAAAGCGCTAATAATTAAAAAGAAAATCGATTCCATCCGAATTATTTATGTAATATTAAATATGTGATGTATATTTTTTTGTCGAGCAACAAATAGGTTCATTTTTTATACTAACAATAAAAGTTACAAATGTAGTATGGTTATAATTTCTCATGAAAACGAATGTTTCGAACGAATATCATCAATATTATCAAGTTAGTTAAATGTTGCTTTTCTTTAAACCAGAGCGAGAAAAAAACCAAAAACGTTCATTACGTTGTGAATCACAATTCGTGATCAAGAGGAAAGCGCCCAAAAACAGAAGAACATAGATTATGTGTGTGTGTGTGTGTGTGTGTGTGTGTGTTTGTGCTGCTGATCCCATGAGGTTTGCACATTGTGATTTCGATGACAATTTAAATATACATAATCGCGTGAATAACTTAATCGAACATTATTTGATGGCTGATGAAATAGAATCATTAGCGCCAATTTAACACAGCAAAATCATATAAAGCACCTAATTAAATTTTTTCCACACAAAAAGCCCAACATACAAGCGAATGACTGCGTGTTGTTCTTATAAAATGTCAAATATTTGCAAATTAACTACTAAGAAAAATATATTGATTTTATTCTTGTTTTTTTTCGGCTACAAACAACATATTTTCTACATTTCGTTTAACGAGACAGAAGACGAAGAGGAAAAAAGAGTGTAGATTTGTTTTTATTTGTTTGGTTTTAATATACGTTCAAAATATGTTTCACTTAAATGTGTATATGTTTTTATTGACACTGGTGTTTGCGTCGTGTGCGATGCTCACTGAACCAGTTATTGCATTTCAAGTTTGAGCCTGTTGCCCTTTTCACCACGTGTGTTGTCATGCCTTGCCACGAGTGGCTCAACTAAAATTTCCGACGACATTACTTCTTCGATTTATTTACAATCTAATTCAGTGTGCGCTCGCTCCGCGGAAAATCGTCACTGAAGTGTGCTACACTCGATCGAACACACTCGAGATATAGCTCAATCATTTTGTAAGTAAACAATTGTCGCCCCATCGGCGAGGAGCAACTGTTGATTATTCGTTCCCAACTGAATTCATTGTGTCACATTGACAAACTTAAAACACAAAATTTTTTTTTTCTTCAACAAACAATAAGCATCGCCGTCGACTGGTTCTGCATTTCTGTCCGTGTTCCATGCAAAATACGTTGTGTTATTTAATTTTAAATTAGATAAGATTACATCTTCAGTATGCAACTGCTTTGTATTCGATGGTTATGCAAATGTCTGAACTTTTATCGGCATTATAACAGCTTTGTTGTTGTTGTTTGCCCATTTACTTATACATCGATTCAGTATTCTTAGCATTTCCTCTTCAGTTGCCCGGAAACTCTTACTCTCGCTCTCGCTCTTGAAAGAAGTTCTTCTTATTTTGTAGTGGCACACAGAAATATACGCCGGTTATGCTTTTCTGCTGGGTTCTTTCTTTCTTCTCAGTGTTCACTTAAGTATAATTTACATAAATTCATAGATATTTCCTTTTGGTTTTGTACTATCCACAGTATAATTGCGTGTGTTTTTGTAGTTGTTTGTTGGTTTAGTTGTGTGTGGTTTTGTGTGAAATTGTATCAATACAATGAATAGCTCTCCTTTGAATTTGTCATGAAGCTCATGAATAATCGTTTAGTTGTGTGTATTGATTTTATTTCTTTTGTGGGCTTTTTTTTGTTGTGTTCACTTATCGCCTATGGTTTTTATGTGTTTAAATACACATCGAAACATTTCACACGAAAAATACGATTAAAGCGCTTTTATTTGTATGTAACTAGTTTGCTTTTGTTTCTGATTTGTCCATCAATAAATTTTTATTTTTGCGTGTCTCCAAAATGTCATCAAACTTGATACCGTCGCGATTTCTCTTTTTCCTTGGGCTGACTCCAAGTACCAAATTAATCAAATCGTTTCACGCGAACACACTATCCCACCTCAATCTTTTCGAAGTAATATAATTGTTTTTCTTCTATTTCTTCTTGTTACTATATATTTCTTAAAGCATTCCCTGAGCTATTTCCAGCCACTTATA